CATAAATTAACAACACTTCCAAATACAATAAAATTAAAATATGTATAGCATTTATTAAAGTATAATCCACTGCGCGTCCTAATTCTCCGCCCAGTAAACCCTATGACCACCGTTTTTGTAGGACATGCAGGGAATAGGGATATATGAGGGACTACATAAGCTACTGTTGCCGCCATTACTTGAGTAGGTTGGCTATCGGGAGGGTGAAGCGGCCTATCTAGCAAGACGCCCAAGAGTGAGCCGACCGATTGACGCCCACACTGCTACTCTTCTCTCACCGATCGAAACCGTCATGGCCTTAGCATTTGCACATAGGCAGGTCAGTACAGAAGTTCGTTTACTACATAGGAGACCGACTACGGCAAGCCCATAATAATTCAAATAAGTTGTGTTTCAGTCTTAGTCAGCGGACATTTGGCCAAAAGGCAACTTACCAGACCAGCAACAGACACAAACTAACCAATTTGTAAGTATATACTGAGGAAAGGCGGGGCTGTATCATGCCAAAAAACTTTCAATTGCTGTAAGCTTACCTGTTCTAAGTTTCCCTTTCCTTAAGGTGCCATAATATGCTTAAACGAAAGGTTATCGAAAAGCAGTGTGGAAACCAAGCATGCCGAAACCATTCTCTGTTACCGTTTCCGATACTATTCTTCAAGCATCTATCAAGAACCAGAGATTTTACATGTTATAACTGTGCAAACGACTATGTTAGCCATATTATCACTATTGCAGCCGATTATGTGGCCATTATGTCTTAATATTTGCCTTTCAGGTGTGATGATAATCAGTCTAGTGCCTCTACTGTGCGCTGCCTGTTTCCTAAATCTGGAGCCGTTGCTTTTGCTGACTGGTACGGAACCGGATATCGCGAAGTAAGCGATACCTCAACGCTTTACGTTTTTTCTCCAGCTGACTTAGAAGAAACTGGATTGTGCATCTGTCGTATTCTTAATAAGATCGAAAGTATTTTATTATGTTAAACAAGGCATGCTCTTTGAATACTTATGTTTCGGTAATATGTATTACCCCATGCAACTTAATAATTAAAAAAGCGTAGATGAATCGCATATTTCGGAAGTCATACTAGGACTGTTTTCATAAGAACATAACTTATCAGTATTATGGAACTTTGCGCACTTACGCCATTCACTAGAGGACGAAGTTGTTGTTATCTCTATACGGATGTTAGCTCGCTTTTCCTAAAAGCAAAGTCCGTGAACCCTCAAAGGGGAACTGTGTGATAACAACGTGTTGTTCGCCCGTTCGCGACCGTGTTTAACAGTTTAAGAGTATTGGGAAGGAAATGGCTTATTTTGCTTAAAGAGCGATATTAACTAGACGCAAAACATGAGTGCTTTAACATGTCTCTGTGCAGTTTCCATCGCGTCAACACTCTGCGTTCTCACCCACCTCCAGTCTTCTCATGTTAGTATGTGTGTGTGTCGTAATCCTTGTTGGATCAGGAGTCCCAACCGCAATCACAGTTGCGGTTGAAGACGGCGAAACCCCAGGACCTCAACCGGCTTGAGACAAAGGTTCACGGGCATGAGTTGGGCGCTTGGCCGGGAACTGCAGGCGAAAAGATGCGGACAGTCATGTGGAGAGACGCCAAAATCGGGACAGCTGTCGGACGCGGATGGTTCGAGCCGGTGTTGGTACTGGCGAAGGAGCGTTGAGTAGCCACTGCGTATTTGAGCTAACACACAGCGAGTGAACCTCGGGAGTTATCGTCTCGAGGCGGAAAATCGGGGGTGGATAGACACTTAAAAGGATTGTGGGCGGCAGCTGAGTTTTGCGTTGAGGAAGACTTTCTGGAGAAGACGCTAAAAGCTTGTAACGGTGGCAGAGCCATCAACGGGTAGATCTGAAAGGCCTAAGGCGACAGCGACCTTGTGGAGATGTGTTATAAACGTAAAAACGCTGCGGTAGGGTTCAGGAGCGTGGTGACGGTGGTGATTAGGACGGCCGAGTTGCGAACAGGTCCACCATTATTGCTGGCCTAAGAGTGCGTAGTAAGGGGCAACTGGCAGGACAGGTGTTACTCATAATACCTGGCGAAGGTGGGATTTAAAGGGAGATGTGGTGAAATACTGTGAACACCATAAACTATTTCACGTCTCTTTGGTCATCCTGCCGTAGTGCAGATAGCGGACATCATCGAAATCGAGAGCTTGGTTCTCGTTAAAGTTAGAGTTCAGATTACATTCATTGTTAGGCTTTGCGATACGATACCATTAGTTTTACCTTTTAGATTCGGCTAAGGGTCATTGTTAAAGCACGGACGAAGTACCATTCTTGTAGTTAAGCGCAAAAAGCGCTTTTAGACGCTCGTTTACCCGGTTGATGTCAGCGGATGCACACGAACGATTTCTACGGATTTCAGTACGTTTTCCTTATCAAAAATCCAAGTAAGATGTTAAACTCTCGGACATCGTAGTTTCATTAGGAAATTTAAGATTGCTGAATGAGCGCAAACTAAACCCCAGTACGACAAAAGATAAGACACGTTAGGTTGTTGAATAATACATAATACGGCGAGGTTATTGCTCCTTTTGGTTTTCCTTTCAGGGATGCGGCCGAGTATGTTCTCTGGTTTTTCCCGGGACTCTTTGTAAGTGACTTCAAGTGTAGTCATAATTTTGTCCCATATATTGCTAAACACTTGCCTTTTGATAATGCATGAATGTTTCGTTTAATCGGATCTGTGAAAAAAATTAGGGTTATGTGGACGAAGAAAATTCTCTTTTTATATTATTTGTTTTCCCTAGTTCCTCTACAACTCCTACATCCTTTCGAGATACTTGCAAGCCCAGGTATGCTTTTGCTTTGGAATGTTGAATACTAAAAATTCATTCAGGACAAGGCTTTTGTTCCGCTCGCAGCAACTTTACTTGCAAATGCGGTCAATATAGGTCTGAATTACCTTCTTGTCATTCAATGGCGGTTGGGCATCAAGTAAGTTGAAATGTCTTCACTCTCCTTATATAATTTTGCATTGTCCTACCCCTACTAATGAATCCATTTCTTTCATTTTCCTAAACCAAATACGGTGATCATTGTCGCGTGTGAAATATTCCAGCTTTTTGAAACTGGTGGTTATATGTTACCTGCAGTATACGATTAAAACATCTAAACAGTGAGTTGATGTTGTATTTTGAATCGACAAATGTTAGAGTGGGGCCCTATCGAGATAGTATATTAGAACCGCTGGAAGTATCAGATTGCAGCTTTGTAAATTAGTGCAAAAAGTAGATCACCTTAATATAAAAGTACGTTTCCACAAGTTATTTTCGCTTCTGTTTACAATGGTCATCACCCAAAAGTGGTTATTTATGACACTAAACCTGTTTTTCTTTGCCAAAAGAGACATGACTGAATAAAACGTATACAAACTTGTGTTAGGTTTTTTTATAAAGTTACTTGTTTTATAAATTCAGCGCGTATCCTCGTATTCTCAGTGTAATGAAAAATTCTTAAAAGCCGTTCTCCCTTTTAGGGTATCTGCAGTTACACTTGCATTGTCATTTGGAATTCAGTTGGCTGTTCAAGCA